CCCAACCATCCAACATGAGTGCCCACTCCGGGCAAGCACAAGAAGACAGCGCACTGGTTCCATACTCCCGCTTCATCACACCAGTTTTCCCCGATACATCCCGACTTTGCCTTCATGCTTTGTGTACCTTGCCGCCGCGTCTCTAGATCTTAACACACTACATATATAAGATCTTCCTGGGTGCCCAGCGAACAGGACATGGCTACTAATTCATTGCCATTCAAGGGAACCTGTTCATGCGCGTTTGCAGACACACGTTCGTCTACTAAACGATCTTGTCCCGCTATTCAATGAAAGAAAAGGCTCACTTAAGAAGGATTGGCCCCTTTTCCCGTCTCCTGACCGGCGGCCTGCAACAACCAGCGCGCCCGGCCGCACATCGGTGGGGGGTTGTGCCAAAGTCATACAGCTTCGACCACTGTGGTCGTCACCAGACAGTGCATCTTCGGCGGGCGCGATCTTATGTACGCAGCAATGGCTCAACACCATCACAATCGGCAACAAGACCAAGTCTACGGTTACTCTTTGGCTCAAAATATAGCGATCCCTCAGCAGCACTGATTATACCAGCGCGTCAAACACAAGTTTATCCTACGGATGCCGGACCGGCCTCGAGTCGGCCGACACAAGTGCCCCATAAGAGGCGTGACACGGCAAGCCAGTGCCCGCAACCAAGGTGTCCGCATTTCCCCGGAGAGAACACCGGTACCGACAGGCCCTGAACAAGTGCACACCCGGCGCGTGGATGACATGAGAGTTGTCCCGACATTGAAGGTAAGGAGGGCCAGGACAAGCTTGCCACGCGTAGACAAACCTAAGTCCAACCAGCCATCACAGATGAGGGCCCGGTTGAAAGCCAAAACAGCATGTTGGAAGTTATTTATGCAGTCCCGCCTGGTCATGGCCTGGGTACTGTTCGGTTTTCCGCTGTTGTACGAAGCACCATACAGCCTGACCAACCGTCGGCCTAACAGCAGACTGAATTTTGCGATCACCGAACTGGTCGCAACTGGGGCGGGACCATGAGTCGACTGCCAACTGCGCTGCATATTGCCCCTCGGTTTTGTTCCTAAAGAAGGCCACTCCCAAATTCCGCCTAATTTCTGATGCACGTTATGTTATATTATCGAGCACCTTGTGGTGCCGAGCTACAGGCATAAGTCCCGTGGGATGCTTGTGTGAAGTGCGGCTGGGGCATGGGTGATGACCCTCTTGACCTATACCGACCAGCGATCGTTGCACTTGTGGGTCCTTTCAAGACCTGTCATTACTGTCGGCCACTAGTGCAACTTTCACAATGGGTTGGTGTTGGGAGGGGGTTTCGCAACGGGTTGTTTTGCTACAGAGTTGTGCTTGCGGTTGGCGGCTTAGCTACTGTAACGCACCACGGCAGGACTGAGCAATAACGTCGGCTGCCCATCACAACATTCCGGTTGCGTTTGGGGAAGCTGACATACGTTGTCGGTCTGCCCACATACCTACATCTATGGATGTGGGAAGGCACTTATTGCATAGCTGCTAATTTGTTTCGCTTCCAAAGATTAGCTAACAGATTTCCACCACCACCGTCACCCCTTCAAGGAGCGGATGACCCTGCGGCTTGCCCTGTCGCTAGGCCTGCCGTGAACGGCTCTGTGAATGGTGCTGCTCTTGGCCCTCCCAATGGCCCTCACAATGGCCACGCCGCGAACGGTGCCGCGAACGCCATTGGTGTCGCCGACGGTACTGTGAAAGGCGCTGCTCCTACCAAAGCCTCTGCAAATGTCCCCGCTGCAGCTCTAAATAGCCATCCGCATCCGTCTCACCTGGGTCGCCCATGGCTGTGATGGCTCCAAGTCGCGGGCAGCTGTCGCCATGGACGCACCTCAGGCCCCAAACCGCCAGATAAATATGTCTCCTTAATATACATAAATAGCTGAGTGCTAGTTTTAGCTTTGTTTGCATTTCATGCATTCACTGGCGCCAACCGCTTGCATCGGCGTAGCCCCCAGTATTGTGCATTGCGTCACTTTCCATAAATTCATGATGTAGTTTTCATTTTAATATATATGCAGCAGATTGCTAGGGAAATGGGCTCATCTAGACGCGCCGCGCTGCCGGCTTGCGCAAGAGATCTCTGCGCGCGCTGCGCGCCGCGTGCACCAGGATTCACTACAATGAAATGTCTTTTGCTTCAATATGCTGGTATGTGTGGGTATGTGCGTTGCTGAAGGGGCATGGGGCCTTTGCTGCAAAGGTGCAGCACCATCTGGGGAGCTTTTACCACAGCTGAAGTCAAGGCATTCCTTGTGGATTAAGGACCGCCATCAAAAACATATTTGTCTGCATCATGGTGATGTGATACTCCTGTCCTTCCACGAAACGGTGATTCGCGCGTAGCGCGGCGCTATCATATGCATGTGTACGCAAGCATGTTTACGACTGGACCTGTCCCACCAACATAAAACAACTGGAGGACCCAGCGAGTGACCGACACAAAACGCTTATGGCCCATTATGAGAAGCATGGTACGAAAATTGAGGTACGAAGGGTTTATGTAGGGCATATCTAGGGCCAGGGGACCCGGAATGTACGACCGTGGGACCGGCGAGGGACCTAATTTATGTGCCTTCCGGTCCCCAGCCCATTCGAGCTCACATAAGCACCAAAAACTAAAGTATTCGCAATTTTTTTCGAGTGTTATAAGTAAGACGTTTAACGAAGAACATATTGACAAAGAATTGTGCCTTTACGTTCGCGTTTAGGCACAGGTCTGACTTTGGATGAGAGCAGGACACTTTGTCAAATTCACTGCTGGTCATTGTATTAGACTCGGTTGATATAAGAGTGTTTCACGCAAGTATGGGTACTAGCGAAAGGTAACCGCACCGATGGCAGCGAGCACGATTGCGGTAACAGATAGAGGAGCAGCTGTGAAGGTCACAAACAAACGTGCGAGAAGAGCGTGGATGGTGAAGCAGCAAAGCCTCAGCAGGTACCAAACGGGTACATGTTTAGCGCAATCACAGAAGGCAGAAGTGTGGCGCCTCTCGTGAGCCTCTCGCTTAGTTCGGTTCGCAGTCTTCTGTGTCAGCTGTGTTGCCTAGCCAGGGGCTGGGACAGCGCCCCGGTTGGCGTGAGTGAGGGGGTGAGGCGAGCGCGGCGGAACAGACGGACGTAGAGCCACGCGCCCGCCCGCCCCTGTGTTTCGGCCCGGTCATAGCCCCCGGTGCTTGTCCTCTCTCGGGACGAGCCGCCCACAGTATAACACCCCATCAGAAGCAGCGGCAGCTGGACAGAGCTCCCTGCCTCACGAGCACACATAGCAAATCGCCTTGAAGTGGCGGCAGCTGTCATAGGCTGATGATGGGCCGGGGCTGCCGTGTGAATCCCTGGCAGGCGCGCGACTTGCGCTGCGTGTGATCTGATGATGGGCCGGGGCTGCCGTGTGAATCCCTGGCAGGCGCGCGACTTGTGCTGCGTGTGAAATCCTGCACACCCTACACTACACACATAACGCAATCCCCTCTAAGACCGAGAATTCATGCACTTCTTCACATACACTGAATGAATGAAAGTTACAGTGGACCCTGTGCAAGGTCGGTACAATGCATCCCTGCATCACAATGCCCGAAAGTGAACAGTAGCTACAGCCCGCCAGCAGAACACCCAAAAATGCAGAGACACCCAGCGGGACACCACTACCAAACAGGGGGCAACAGCGACGCATCACAACTGCACCAGAAAATTATAAAGCAGGACTCGGGGAAAGTCGCCTACACAGGCACCTCAGGACACACTACCACAACCTACACACAGCCCTCCAAGGGGGTGGCGCTTGCATCAGCCAGAGCTTTGCTCGGCTCACCCGAGCAACCATCTGCAATTGAACTTGGCCCACCGTGCCCAGGGCCACGGGGCAGGCCCAGGAGTGATGCTGCCGCAGGGTGGCTCCCCCACCACCCACCGCGGGGGTCCCGCGGAGGTCCCGCAGCCCGACCAGGCCACCACCGTGCGGCGCATGTCAATGTGACAGCATCGGAGATAATCGGTCACTTGTAATACGTTGTCCTGTGGAAAATGCACTTCGTGCGACATGCGACTTGACTTGACCCGACGAGTTGACCTGCCGAACCTCTTTGTCCTTGGAATCCTGGTTCCTAGAGTGAGCCTCCATTGCATCTCTTGGTGTTTTCATGAGTGATCGCTGCGTTGATCGATTGAGTTCGGTTCCGCAAGGTTCCGCTTGTTCTTATCTTTGGGTTCACCGTATTCTTGATGAATTTCGTAAAGCTTTTCTGGAGTTAGTTTTGGTTCTACTAACGCCACCACGTCAAAGTCTACTTTGACGAGCGGAGCCCCTTGTCCTAGTATTGTATGGACGCTCCTGTAGCGTTACTCTCCCGATTCTTTACGAAGAATGGAAATTGGATTGCTACTTGGCCATACAGAGTGGCTGCTTGCGCAAAGTTAATTCCTGGAGTCCATGGACGTGCATCACTCCACAAAGTGCGTCGCCACTGCTCCTGCGACGCTCGAGCGACCTGAAAAAGTTCCATACAAAGGTCCTCTAATGAAATGTCGCGCGAGCCGACCAAAATCTGCGAGTTGCCAGGTCGAACAGGTCGCGTCCCCGCGCGCGTCCCACTTAGGTCGCCCAGCTGGACGAGCGTGTACGGCGCCCGGTCCGCCGGCACCCGATATGTCTGCATTTTAAACGTTTCCGGGCGAGGTGGCGGCTGTTATGTCATCTAATTTTTCCAATACGTATATAATGGCCAAATACCAGCCCCAGTCACTGCTCATGATCAACCTCTTCCCCATTCCAGAGCTAGACCCCATAAGTGTAGCAGATATAGACTTTACAGCTTCTTTTAACTCAGCATTTTACAGGAGGAAAAAGTCCTCCTATAGTCGGTTGAGGCGTAGAATGTAGGTTTTGATTTTCTCTCCTCCCGCACTTGTATATGCGTAACTCAAGCATATCATGTTTACAGGTCAGGAAAGCATGTTTAACAATTATGTCTGTTGGGGGATCTTGCAGTGACAACGCAGCCAAGTCCTCCTCGGGAGGTGGTGGTCCCACGGGACCATCAACGAGCACCACAG